CAGGAATTCCTTTCCGAAGGGTCCGCGTTCTTTTTGCGTAACTCGACAGCCGGCATAAGTAACGCCGCCGCATTTTTATACACTCGAACTCATGCATCATTTACAGTTTTTTTTTCCACGCGAATAAAACATCAGCGCGCTTTACAAATCGTAAGGAACGTTCAACTGCGGGGATTCAGTGGCTCCGTACACGTGAACTGATCATTGGGCTAGGAAAAAGTCGATGCACCTTTGGAAACAGCTTGCTGCTTAGTTCCTAGGTGTGCTGGAGAGAGTTTATTCGAAACTTATTGAAATTTTAATTTATAACCGTTTTTTTTCTGTTTAATCGACTTTCCAAACGTGGATATTTTTTATAGTTGATTGTACGACTGAAATATGAAAGTAATTTTATGTTAACATTTCAAAAGGTGTCTTTTAACAGAATTGAATTTTTGACAGTCCTTATGGTTAATTTTATATTTTATTAAATATAGAAGTTTAGTTGCTATGTGTTTTGTCGAGAGTTTATTCGAAACTTTCGACATTTTCATTTATAATCGTTTTTTTTGGTTTAAATTTCATATTAACGTTTCAAAAGATGTCTTTTAAGAGAATTGAATTTTCAATAGTTCTTATAGTTAACATTATAATATTTTATCAAGTATAGAAGCTTTGGTGGTAGCTGTCCTAAACAAGGGTTTATTTATTTTAACCCTCAACAGTGATTCTACCAAAATATAGATTATATTATTATATTATATAATATAGTCGGATTATCTTATTATATTATATATTATAGTAAGATTATATTATTATATTATATATTATTATATTATATAATATAGTAAGATTATATTATATTGTATAATAAAGTAAAAATATAATAAGAAATAATTAATATAGGAACATAGTAAGAATATTAATTACAATTATATCATATATAAAATGATATACTCTAATATAATTAATTTAGGATCACAGTAAACATATAATAGATATAATTATATCATATATATAATACGATAC